TCTTCTTAAACCTGTATTTGCAAATATGCTTCAGGAAGATCCAGCTTTGAAAAAATTTTTCCAGTTTAAATTTACAAAATTCTCCTCTGAACTTGGTAATGGATAGTTATGAGATTCTAAACATTTGTTTAACCCTGTGGAAAAATCAGCACAAACACAAATTTCATTATTTTGAATAGTCAATCTTTTCAATTACACCTATTTTATCAAGTCTGTCTAATTCTTCGTTGATTTGATCCAATGCTGCGAACAGTACACTATGTTTTGGTTTAAACACTGGCATCAACCTTTTTTCCATTTGAAATTTCACTTTGACTTTGGAACACTGACCCAACTCATCTGACAGAACATTCAGAAAACATTTTTTCAATTCTTCCTTTAAATTTTCACATTGTTTTTTTAAACTGGTCACTTATCCACTTACATTTTTGCAATAAATATATATAGGTAAATCCCACAACTCAAATAATTCCATCCAGTCAGTACTGAATAAGTTTGTAATATTTTTTAACACATAAGCCTTAGCTTTTATGCACTTGTTATAAAATAAAACGTTACAATTCATTTCACAAATAAAAAATAATTTCTTACTCAACACACCACATGCGATTTTCAAAGTTCTTTTTAATATAGGTTTTCCATTTGCTTTCCATGTGGCTTCATTGATTACTGTGATATCACTACCAGTGTCTAGTTGCATTTTTACATCCACATTATTAATTTTCACATACACAAATTTCCTTTGCTTTTCTGTAGTTATTTTTCTGTTGCAACACTGAGTACAAAATTTTTTCTGAGAACTTTTCCTTTTAGCTTTACAGTGTGACTTTTTATGTCCTACTTTTCCACACTTGTAGCACTTTGAATTCTTAAAAGGACAGTTGCCATCTGAAACCTGGATTAATTTTTCTTTTTCCCCCATTTTTTTTAGCTTGTATAAATGTGCATTTTTTTACTTCATTTTCTTTTGTATCACATCTCCGATTTAGGATTCTCTAACATTCGTCTGATATTTCTTGTAGTGTTAGTTTTTGATTCTCTTCAAATTTCGTTAGAATTCTAGCACATATTTCTGTCTCTTTTTTTCACCATTAACCCTTGAATGAAAATTAACCATTTAAACATATCTGGAGCCAGTTTGTTTAATTTGAATCTTTCACACTCCTTGTTAACAATTCCAGCATATGTGACAAGATCTTCATACACTTCCAATGAGTACTGAATAACAAACTTTTCTTGGTAAAAATTTTAGTCAGAATATTTACTGTTTCTTCAAAGTAAATTTCTCCTTTTTTTTTTTTTTTTTTTTTTTGGTAGTACAAAATTTCATTATTCATGTTCTACCAGTGCTAACTTTCTCAACAAAAGTCTTGTTTCTTTTTCTTGTTTTCCCAGTCACTGCATTCTTCCCTGAAAATTTGTTTATATCTTCTAAGATAAACAGGAAAGGCAATTCCGTCATCTGAATTGTATGTGAATTCAATTATGGCATTTGCCACTGCATTAGGAATGAAAGAATTTGGGAAATTTTCCGTTTTCATCCATGTTATTTCAATTAAATTTTGCTGTTGTTTCTGCTGTATTTTTACCACTTGGACTAATAATCATTCCATATTTAAAGAATATCTGTTTTTTCCTTCTTTCTCTTTATTTTGTCTATTTTTATACCCAACAAAGAAAAACAATGTGGTTATAATTTCTTCTCGTCATTGTTATCATGTGCACTGAATCAAAAGTACTTTTACCTACTCTGTATGAGATTTGATCCTTCAGCATCACTTTTATAACTCACTCCCAGTGGTTATAATATTATGTCTTGCTTAGGCTACTCGCCATAATGTCATTTGGGTTCTTCCCAAGTGAGTCCAATGGATTCCTCCTGACTCACTTTGAGTTATTTATTTAAGGTGTTTTCCCTAGTTCATTTGTGTTACTGGGGGTGTCTGTCTTATTTACTCCACAACAATAATAAATCATTAGGTTTAGATTATACACTATGAATAAAAAGAGACAAAGAAAAACTATTCTTAGCTGAAATGTTTCATCCTCTGAGGGACTTTATCAAGGCAATGTAGGATTTATTTTGTTACACATTTTTATATAGAAAAGCAAGGATATTATTGGTATATCAAGGCTTTTATATTTGAAAATGTTCATCAGATGGTTGAAAAGTCAGTCAAAACATTTGGAGGACACAAAGTGTCATAATTCAAATTCAGGTAAAAATCAAGCAAGTAATACACAAAATTTTTTTTTTTTTTTAAATGAATATTGTTTAAATTGTGATTAGATTTTTATGGTATGAGATGAATGTATGTGCTGTACATCTTCAAAAACATGAGGTAATCAATTTAACTGTTTCTTTTAGATCTTTCAACATGTTTGTGGTTATGTATGTTGGCTTAGGAAAACATAAATTATACATTATATCAGATTTTATTATGCAGCAACTTAACGTTTTCACAATAAAATTGATGATGAGCAAATATTCAGGATATATGCATATGGCAAATATACCATAACAATTTCAGCTTATCTGTGTTTATCAGAAATGTTTACAATATCTTATTTGGTGATCGTGAGATTTTATTATACAACTATAGACTTGTTCATCATATTATAAATAAGTACATATAATAGTATAGTTATTGATATTTATTTTTTAATTTTACATATACAAAGATTGCCATGAGTCATAAGAAAAAATATAAATTCAAAAGAGAAACAAGTTATTATAATGTTATTAAGTGATATAAAGACAACATTGGAAATTGAAAAAAAGTTGAACAGATCAGTAAACAATCAAAACAGAAATTGAAAGCATTGGAAAGATAAAAACAAAAAACAACTGGCTTTAAGAATTCCATGAAATGAGATTTGCAAAAACTTAAAAGAGTATTAATCAAGAAAAGTGAAATGACTAACAAGAAGATATTAGAAGGTGTTGATGTTGTGAATATAAATCAAGAATAAAGACATTGGCAAAAGACAAGAAAGCAATCCTAAGCAACAACCTTTTTATGGTAAACATCACAGAAATGTGTAAAGTGGGTTAAGTAGATGAAAACTAATTACTCAATAGTAATTTTTAGTGATGAATGTAGAGCTACATTGATCGAATCTGATGGTGAGGTTAGGGTTTAGGTCCTTCATTGAAATAGTAAGCCAATAAGACTTTGAAGACAATAGCAGAGAAGTGGAGCAATGTTTTGGATGAGTATTGTAGGCAGGAAAATTATATGTTCTGTTAACTATACTGACTCTTGTGGTCCTACCTAGGATTGAACTCACCATCCTAGACTAACAAATTTCTGAAGATATTAGACTCTTACTCCTCAGCTTAATGGATGAGTTCTAAGCAGTGATTCTTAACAGTGTAATAAGGTCATTTGAAAGAATTTTGACTTGCTATACTTTTCAGTGTTGAAATATGGGAGACAAAAATGTCTACCCAATTTATTAAGTAAAAATGAAAGACAAATTTTATTTTCCACACTAACTTTATTGACACAGAATTAATGGGAGGTGGGCTTCCTAGACTGAAGTCAATAGACAGGGCGGAGAGTTTACCCAATGGAATCAATGGTCATGTGACCAAAGCAAGCATTCAAATGGGAGGATATCGACTGTGGTTTGACCTGAAGAAGGATGGCTCCACCATAGCGACTTGCCCATAACATGCTTACGCATGAATGAATACCTTTCTGGCTGTTAAGTGAATTGGTTAATGCTCAACTGTACTACAATCACACCCAGTTATGAGATTGATGATGATGATGATGATGATGAACTTTAATGAATAACATTTTTACTGTTTTGTTCCATTATCATCTGTAATCCTTCAAACAACTTCATAATTCCAACAACCATCAATTTTTTTTTTTTATCTTTCTCAGCAAGATTTTCTGCTTTTTGCAGTATTACAGGAAATTTAATTTTTTTGACTAAGACTAATGTTGGTTAAAACACATCGGGTCTCTGTTAGTTGTGAGTTCAATCCCTGAGTAAGTACTGAAAAGTTATATGCATTCAGAAATTCTGGCAAAAGAAATTTCCACTTTTGATATATGTTCAATCATTCGCAATATCTTCTTAATAAACTGCACAATTCTTTTTGACATTTGAACTGTATTTTTACCATTCTTAAAATGTATAATATATTGAAAATGTGCTTATTTTTCTTCCCTCTTTAATGTCTGAATGAATAAACAAAAATACAAAATGTTAACTATTGTTTATTGTAACTGGTATAACCAGTTATCCCCCACTTCCCCAATTTAATGGACTGTTCCTATCAGCAGTGGGAGCAGCAGGAGCATAGACTTGTATCCCCTCCTGCACAGGGTGGATTGGGCCATTAGATACTATTTAAACTGCTGTGATTTCTCTCTTGGCAAAAACTTTACTTGTTATATTAACAGCCCCCCCCTCCCCCCACGAGGGTTGTATGTGGCACAAAGCAGAGTTTACTGTGGGTTCTCCGAGCCTGTAGGTAGGCTCGGCCAAAAATATTCCCTTAGAACCCGCATAAACGGGTTCAGGGCCTGTCTACCTCCCCAGACGAAACTTTGGCACAGCTTCGTCCGGGTTCCTCTCTGCTCAAAGCAGAGAGTTCAACAGTTTACTTGCCTAGAGGAACTACTGACATTTGAAACCAAACCTGGACTCTTATCACAAAAGATTTTTTTTAAATGTTGCAATTTAACTGAATGTAATTAAAACTAAACAATCCTTAAGCCATCTTACAATAAATAAAGAATGAAGTTTTTGGACAACACAATAGTAAAAGGTTGATAATAAATTGTGAAAGAAAAATGTTGTTATTTTTAGTAAAATGGTGAGACTTCAAACAGCAATGTTAAATTTATGACTAAATTTAAAATTCAATGTTATTGTAATGAGAGCATCTTTTGTTCTTAAGAAATTCAAGTAGTTTAGAATTAAGTTTAGATAATAGCTTCTGATGAAAATAGCAAAAGAATAAAGTTTTGCAAACTTACGAATCCATTGAGCAGCAGGAATCTCTGTTTGGTATTTGCGTACAGAAAGGACATGTTTCAGGAGGATACTGCTGTAAACCTGTCCATAGCATTCAAACATGAAATTGTCTTCTAAGACATTGATAATGTGCTTCACCACAAATGTACTTTTCAATTGGGGACCACCTTTTAAATGAAAAGAAAGACATTTCAGTTTAGAATTTCTAGCATAAAATAATTTTTATCAAAAATTAATATATATAAAAAAAAAAAAAAAAAAAATGACAGAAAAAAAACTTACGCCAATGACAAGTGCATAAAAAAGAAAACTCAAAAAAACATAAGCAGTCAATTGCTAATACTCCCTGAAGAGTAGAGGGACAGACCCATCTACACAAGTGACAAACTTTTACTTATATATATATATATATATATATATATATATATATATATATACACACACACACACACACACACACACACACACACACACACACACACACACACACACACACGGTGTGGTGGATAAATTGTCATCTAAATTATGCAAGAATGAAAATAACGCTGACATCTCATTTTAACAGATATATTTACCAAGATTACACAAAAATACTAAAGAGTAAATTTATTCAATCGCCATTGACTTCAGTCACGCCGTCCAGATGACTTCGGAATCTCCTGCAGCATTTTACCCTTTTTTATGCTCATACAACACCATACACTAGCCCTCTACTTTGAGTGGCTCTTGGGCCTTGTATTGGATGAACATTAAAAAAGTGAAAGCATATTTGTCACAAATATTCATAGGATTATACAGTTAAACATAAAAATCTAAAAAATATATTTCCCCTTTGTTTTGACCAAAGCTTTACAAACTTTTTCATTCTTAAAACACTTTTAAAAATCACATTATTTTACAGCACTCAAGATTTATTAGCCAAGCTAAATACATAATTCAAAATGTATATAAAAAATAATTCATTACAAATTAAGTTAATAATTAAAGAACAGATAATTCATTACAATGTCATAAGACACCAGTTTGGACAGTTCTAGTCTGGGTGAAGGAATTTCTTGTAAGGTATCTCATCAGCCTGTTACAAGCGATTAATGTCTAAAATAATAATGATAGAAAAATGGATTTAAGAAAACTTTAAACAATTACAAATTTTTAGATTAATTTTATTAATTTATACACAAATTTCTTTTAAACAATCAGACTCACGTTTATCTGCAACCTCAACCACAAATTTGAAGAGAGAAGCAACTTCACGTTTTTTATTGGCCATCGTCTGCCCTGTTTGGGAAGCTTTGCTTTTCTGTAAAGCATGAGTCTCCACATTGACATGTCGCACAACATCCTACAAGAAAAAGACATTAATTAATGAAGAAATCCATCCTCCAAGAAGTTTAGATTTAGTGAACATATTTAAAAAAAATAAAAAACTAATTAAATGTTAAAAAACTGTTATACTGGAAACTGGACTCCACATTGGAATGACAAAAATAGTCTTTCTGGATACACAGAATTTTATGGTTCATATGCTGCGTGGAAAGTTCTTTGTCCTTGAGACTAGTTCCATTTGTAGCCATATTGTACCACCATTGACTAAGGCTGTGTTCTTTTGCTTACTGGGTGTAATGTGAGTCATGATATGGACGACACAACAGAAGGAATTCCATGGAGATGAGAAGTTTACCTCTTCTCAACTGATCCTATTCTTTAAGCACCAGCTTAATGTCAAGATCAGGAGGAAAAGGAAACGACTCCATACATCAGAATTTGGCAAAAGGTGGGTGAGTCTTGCAAATTTGTGCTGAGTGAAAGGTGCTGAATGGCATTTTTATGCTGGTTAGACAAAGATTTTTGGATTGTTGAAGTGAACATTGACAACCTCACCTGAAATAGGTGAGTTTAGTTTACTTGAAAAACAACTTAAGTGGCAAAAATGATGGTGGGGAGGAATTTCCAAAAGTCGAGGAAAATCTGAATTGGGGCACAGCCCGTAATATATGCAGACAGATGAAATAGAGCTCTCTAGATAACATCTGCTACTACACCAAGAAAAAGTAAAACTAAAAAAAGAGAGAGTAACTGAAATGTTTGTGTTCTAAGATATGATGATGCTGTTATTTGAAGAATTATTCTAATTTTATCATTATACTTGCTTTCATCATAATCTTTTGATATGTCTACACATGGTTTTAAACAACAGAAATAATGACAATGAAAACTGAAATGTCTTATTTTTTCCCTATCAATATATCCTGTTTTTGTTTTTTTCTTTTTATCTCGGTCATATAATTTCTAGTATTCCTCAATGTTCTTATTGATTTGTATTTATTCAAATGTAAACTGTAAAAAAATTCAGAGAACTTAAAATGATTACTTAGTTATTTATTTTAGTCCATGATTTTACTTATAGTTATTGCCATGTGACATAAATAATCAGTGCATTATTTAAACAAATTAGAAATAAATAATGAACAATACCTTTTTATAACCATGTTACTTATAATATTGCTAACAAAGAGTATTTTACATTTATGCAAGTAGCAAAGTAATCATTCTAAGTAATGCAGTTAATTGAAATAAGTGCTGCATAATTTGTTGTGGTTTCATATTTATTTAAAAATGGAGCAAAAACTAATAGAAAGAAATAATATTTTTACATGATAATGAAAAATATTAGAATAATTAAATATCACTGAAAAATATTTATTGTCTTTGAGAAATACTAAAAAGTCAAGCTTAAAACAAAATAAGCAATATTGTGCTGGACAATCTAATGTACAAAAAAAAAAAAAAAAAGGAGATGGTAGCTTCTGACTACAGTAAAGAATATAGATCTTTTATGGCCATGAAAAATGACCTTTTCTCCATGTAGTCACTACTTAAAAAGCAGTATTGTTATTAGTTGTCAAACTAACTGGTCAAAATCTAAATAGTTTGTTCTAGTGATCAACTTTTCCAACACATTTTTTTACATTCTTCTTTCATCAAAATCTTTGAGAATCTTCTTACCTTAAGGACATCAGTCCAGACAACATTTCCAGAGTTGCTGTCCAAATATTTTATCACAGATTTTTTTTTCAACAGCTGACGCAACTGAGTTACATGTTTCTGAGAATAAAAATAAAAATAACTGAATATTGTACAACTAGAAACAAAGAAGCATAAAATTATAGTAACATCTTAAAAATAAACTTAATATACTTGGTTCATACTAAGCACAAAACAAACAGAACAGTGTATCAACATACAATGCCACTTCCACAGAGTCAAATCACTTTCATTTCCTCCATGTTCCAAATGTATGACATTCCACACGAATAACTTCCCCCCCACCAAGAACTGTTACTTTGTGGAACAGACTCCCGTGTGGATGCTTCCCTGAACACCACAATCTTAACCTCTTCAGGTTAAGGGTCAAACATTATGTAGCCTTCTTATCCTCATATTTTCATTTCCTACCATATCCTCTTTCACTCATATAATACATCATAACCATTTTAACAGTAACCCTGTTAACAGTACAGTCTTTGCAAAAAAAGAAATCTCCCAACTGCCACATCTGCTCACTTCCACTTCCAATTTTTTTCTGTCCTTTACGATCGTTGTATAGTGCCTTTTAAAGCGGGTGGTCATTCTCATATGCAAATGACCCATGTTCATAAAAAGACTCAACATCACGTGTGCCTTGGACCTCTTATAAATGGCGCTTTGAATCAGGTAAGTGCAAATATCTATCATCACAAACACTCTACCTTGAGTGGCTCTCGAGCCCTGCATTGGATGAACTATAGTACAAAAAAAATCATGGGATTCTTTAGTTTTGACTCCAAAACTACACTCCCTCATGCACACAAAAATAAAAAATTTGAAAAAAAATATGAAAAGTGTCCAAATAAATTTTACTCCCGTCTATTAGCTTTAAAACTAAATATTTTTTTCATATCAGATTCAATGATGCTTGTGCTATGTATTAATCATTAGATTTTCTTTAGTGTCAAATGATATACAGGTCATGTGGTATCCGTCTATATTTCTGAGATGAGGTTATTATGTACACTATTTACATTATTCGGACTATTGTCCTCAAGGACACATGGCACAGTGGATAAAGGTGTTAGTTAGATCCAGGGACAGGACCCAAAGAGTGTGAGTTCATTACCCGGTTAAGGCAGTGGAGAACTTTCAGAGGGAAATTAGCAGGAGATAACTGACATCCGTTAAACATGGCATGTAGAACTAGAACAGTCTACTCCAGTGAGCGAAATAAAGGGTTCAGTTCGACATTTCAACCACTTGAAGAAGGCTGGAGCATACAACGGCCAAAACGCTGTAATAAATATGGCAACAAAGATGAGGACAATAGTCCAAATAATGTAAATAGGATTTGTTGTATGCTGCATATTGCTTGAAAGTATATATCCCTCCAGAGTCTTTGGACAGGAGTAAAGGTTTTATCCCTTGTTTCCTGTTTAGGTTCCTTCTAAAGTTTTTTCATTCTCTTTCACTCCCATTAGCACCTTGTGTCTTAGTGGCATTATTGCCTTGCTTGAGGTAAATTGATTTAAAAAAAAATTGTCAATTTTAGGTTTTATTTCAGGTAAGAACTATAGACTCAGTACCTGCTTTATGTCATTTGAGTATCATACCATATATCACAAATATCCAACATAGCAGTAAATGTGTTAAACACCAAAAATATAAGAAACTCACCTTTCTTTCTGTGACTTTATCAGAAATTAAATTTCGACAGGCTGTTGCAAGTTCATTAAGTTCACGAAGTTCCATTATTTAAGCTGTAATCAAAGATATATAGTCACAGTTAATTTAGACATAAAATCTACAAGAGAAACAAAAACAGAAATATAAAACAGATTTTTGTAATTCTGAAGGTGCTTACAGAATTTGTCAAGTCGAAGGAAATGAAACAAGATCTGACTATAGTGCCTAAAATAGGTGTTTTAAAGATGATCACTTGTCCCTTGAAATAAGTCTTCCAGACTGGTTGCCTATCAAGGCTAGAGAGTTTAGCCTGCTCTGCTATTTTTCTCCTATCCTGAAGAGAGGGGAGAAGAGGTAGGTTCATATCTCTTTTCTCAAAGTGAACACAAACCAAAATTTAAACTTAGTTTGCCGATTCCATTTTCCATGATGCTAACAATTAGGTCATTTTCACTTCCAAAATGAACAATATGAGAGAAAAATGACAAGAAAGCATTGTTGGGTTATATAAAAAAAACAAGGTTTTAGCATATGAATTGACATAATATATAACACTAAGCAGATTTGTCACATCTCTGACAACTTTCATCCCCAGCCAGAAGCTTTGCTGTATTTTCTCTCCCACCATCTATGAGTGAAATAGAAGAATAGATTGTACTCTTCAGCCTTGGTTAGGCATGGAGTTGGCAATTCCTCCATCCCATAAAAACCTACTTGCTACAAAAACCATAACAGTGACACCTGGCATTGTGCAGCTGTGTCCTCTAATCCACTAGAGAAAAGAAAGTCAAATAATCCTAAGGAGGTGGAAATATGCTTGATTGTTACCATAGAAACCTTTGTAAAAATTGCTTCCTGAATATTAGGGGAACATTTAATGAATAACTATTAATTTTTAAGTTTGTAACATAAAAGCTTTTTTTTTTCTTAGTTCCTATCAAAAGTTAGTGTCCATTTTAAAGTATGGAAGGCCAAAAACAGAAAAAGGTTAAGTTACATTTTTTCAGTTTCTACTGTTAATTTAAATCAAATTTTATGAGAATTCAATCTCAATCAAAACATTCCAATCTTCATTGTATTTCTGTTTAGTTTAGTTCACAGAAATATATATATATATATATATATATATATATATATATATATATATATATATTATATATATATATATTCTAAAACCTAAATTAAATTTTTTTTTTAATCCCAAATTATCACTTATTAATAAAAATGTTATTTTTAGTGTCTTTGAGTTGACTCTGTGGAGGCATGGGACAGTTATGAATTGTGGCTTAGACTGAGTTCAAATTCCAGCTAAGTTCATTACATTCACTTACTTGCTAATACCCTTGGTAAAGGTATGAATTCAATTCCACTCCCTCCAATTATGAGTAAATAGAGGAACAAACTGTGTTCAATAGCCTCTTAATTAAAAAAAAAAAAAAAAAACGTATGTAACCCTGGCAAAGCACATACTATGCCACTAAGGAAAGGATCGTTCCCATTGACTCAATGATCCTGACTATGATCGAGTTGACATCCCTAATTTTTTTATTTTCTTATACAGTGTATTTAATGTCAACCAACATAGAATGAAAAATCCTACTAAAGAAAAATGTGCCTCCCGGCAGGAATCAAACTTATATTTGGGAGGCATGCAGATACTTTAAACCTGTTTCAATTTGCAAAATCCTAATCCAGTCCAGAATTTATTGCATTCTAAACCTAAGAGATATTATAAATAAATTAAACTTAAAATAGAAAAACAGTATAATTTAAAAAAAAAAAAATTTTTGCTATAAAATTCATGTTATGTATGATAATATATTACATTCAATATTTTTTATAAGAGAAACACATAGGATTGTATGAAACATAATTAAAGTTTTGTGTTAATAATGATTTAAAAATTGACAAGAAACAAAGTAAATATAAGGAATATACTTCAATAAAAAAAAACACATTAAAATTTTCTTTTTTCTTTTAATATTCTATGCTTCTATAATTGTGAGTTATATCTAATCAAACTTACTTACATTATTCAGACTGTTATTATAATGTAAATAATGCAAGTAAGCCCTTTTATAATCCTGCATCAGATTTGGATTTCTTTTTAGCAAAGGCATAAAGAGCAAGTTAACCATTAAATAGCAGGCATCGTCAGTTTCATTGAAGCTTTGTGGATATCATCAGTTGATGATTTAAACTTTTTCAATGATACAACCATCATTCATTCATGATACGAGCCTAAATGATTAATTGGAAACTGTATGATTCATGTACTAACATCATTTCTTGGAGTATTTGCAAATAAAGCTGAAAGAATAAACCATAGTGCTTTGTCTATTCACCACTGTTGTAGCCTGGTATTGAACTCACAACTCTTTGGGTCTAGTCACTGTATCTAACCAACACCTTTATCCACTGGGCCATGAAGAAGAAGGCCGGAGTGTACAACAGCCAAAACATTGTGAATATGGCAATGAAGATGTGGATAACAGTGTAAATAATGTAAGTAATCATAATACCTCATCTCAGAGATATAGACAGCTATTCAAACTTTTCTTGAGAAATTATAAAACTTTATTCTGCAATATAATAAATTTGAGCAACTTTATCTTGAAAAGTAATATAAATAACATGGAATTTCATTGTTAGTAATGGGACAATTAATCGGAATCGAGAATCGTAAATTTTGGGGGTATCGGAATTAGCATTGTAATCAGTGAACTTTGAACCTAATTTCCTATTCCAAAAAAGATTTTTTGGTTTTTTTTTGTTTAAAACTTAATTTTCCATTTCTAGTACTAATGATAAAAAGATGTAACTATTTACTGATTTTAAACTATCAGTGAAACTAAAATCTATAGATCATAATAACACTTAAGTATGATGTAGATTTACTAGTGTAAAAAAAAAAATAAAATAAAATTGTGTAAGTTTCTACTCAATTCTTGAACTTTCCATAAAGTTCACTAGTTGGAAGTCTTTCAGTTCAAAATAAAATTTTTCTTTTTAATTTCTTTTTAAACATTGTTAATTCACCCATTTAATATTATAAATTATTAATTTAATAATTATAATCAAAATTATGTAATATAAACACAAAATAAATTCATGTTGTTGTTCTGGCAGGGTCTCTTTTAAGACAATTTTTATTATTTCTTTTAATTTATAAAAAGACAAAAAATGAATGTACGGAATTTCTGCCAATTTCACATTTGATTTCATCACATAAAAAATTGTCCTTGTAGTGAGGCAGTTAAATTGCAACAATTTGCATTTATAATAGTTTAAATCCATAAAATCATAAGCAAAAATAAATCTTCTTTCCAATAATCAAAACTTAAAAAAGTAACCACTCTTTTTATTAAACTTATTTCTACGAAATTCATATATTTCTTAAAATTTTAGAAACAGATTTTCATCTTAATTTACTTAAAAAAAAAATAAACAAACTTTTATTTGAAGTTTCCTGAAAAAAAAGCTTTTTCAAACAAAAATTTGTATTAAAGAACTTAACATTTAATTTCCATCAAAAATTGTATTTAATTTTATTAATATTTTTCTTTGGCATAACTGAACTTTTCTGTGTTAAATTATTATGGCATTTGAAATATTTTTAACTTTTTTTCATTTATTCCTCCTCAGAGTCAAATGAGATGTAAAATTTATAAGTAGAAGTGTATAAAATGTTAAAAACATGTTTTTTTTTTATCTGGCATGATTAAGTTATAGTTTTTTCCACTTTTAACATGATTTGTTTTAATGTTTTTAAAATAAAAATAGTAAAATTTCATTTTCTAATGATCTAATAAATAACTGAAAAAAAAAAAAAAAAAATTAATCCCATGCAAAAAATACATATTTTACAGTTGTTCTAACACTTATGAAGATATTAATCATTTTTAATCTTATTTTTATACTTTGTAATAGTTGAATCTCATACCTTATAAAATGATCAAGTTGGATATCAGCATTATTTAGTTTTCAACTTCATAATATTTTTAAAAATTTATTCTAAATTTTGGTAAAATATATCTTTTATAAAAAAAAAATATCACTCCCATGCAAAAGATACAGATTTACAGTTGTTCTCATCCTTATGAAGATTTTAATCATTTTTAATCTTATTTTTATTTTAATGCTTTGTAACAATTGAATCTCATACTTTATAAAATGATCAATTTGGATATCAGCATTATTTAGCTTTCAACTTCATGATATTTTTAAAAATTTATTCTAATGTTTACTAAAATTGCTTATATCTCTTTAAAAAAAAATCAAGGGATATGTTTTTAGTGTGTTGTTGCACTTTTACTCTTTTTTTCTTTTAACAAAAATAAAACTATTTTTGATTCTTTTTAGAAATTATTAAATTTTTTAGTTGCGAAAAATTTATTTTAGACAATAAAACTTAAATTTTTTAGATAAGATTGAAGACCCTTTATTATTTATTAAGTTGCTGTGATAATTCATATTTCTTATTAAACATCTGGAAGCAAATTTAAGATTTGCATTTATTTTTTATTCAGTCCTGCAGGATTAAGTACTCCTTTTATTTATATGTGTATGAGTTAAACCATAATACATAGGATGATGCCTTCTTGCTTAGATTATTATTGTTTATATATATATATATATATATATATATATATATATATATATATATATATATATATATATATTAGGGTGTCTCTTATTTTTGAAGTGCATGCTGAAATTGAATTGTCACCTGTAAATTTGTTCCATTCACTAAAAAATGCCACATATAAAATTTTAAAGAGATTGCATATTTAGAGGGCACCTTTGTTTGTTAAAACTTAAAAATGTGGACAAAAAAAATAGACCCTTTTTTATTTTACAATTAATAGCAAACCATTATTAGTTGAATATTTACAAACTATACACATTAGAAAACGTAGAAACTTTTTTATGTAACAGTGAAAAATTTAAATTTTAACTGATGCTTATTATTTTCAGACACCAATTATCGCAAGTGTATCCAATGCTAAGCAGCAAAGTGTAATTTGGAAGATTTTTTATGATTTCTGATGATAACCAAAGCAAAG